GCACTTACATATGCTCCTTTTGGTGCACCACCACACACCAAAACTTCAGCTTCAATCGCTTCCACTTGCAAGTTCTTCAATGGAAGCAAAACAGCAGACCCAGTACTCGGATAATTTCTTGGATCCCCGCCAGGCATTGTCGGGTAAGTTTTCACCACCACCCCTTTAGTATAATCGAACAAAATAGCTCGATTGTTGGCAAAAATGAACAAATTCCCATCCACATTCAGAAATACAAATGGATACAAATTGTTCTCGGTGTTTCTATCATTCGTCTGAGTCAGAAATGGCAAATCGTGCAATTTATCAGCTGAGTGTGTTTTCGGGTAAAATTCATAATTAAACTGCCCGCGACCGCCGATAATAATTTGCCTCCCGTCCGGCAAAATATGATTGGTGGCGTACCATCTTCTTTGTGCAAGAACACTGTTGTTTTCTTGCCAGTCACAAGCATTATCAATGCAGGGTTTGAAGGTTCTGACATTATGGTCACCATCGTTAGACCCTCCAGTTTGGATTAAAGTTCCATCCGGCATGGCAGCGCCGGAAGAGCACCAGGTGTTAGTGAGGACCATGAGGGGGCGGACAGAGTTGCTGGCCAAGTCGTACTCCACCGAGTGGGCGGTGCAGTCAATTTTCAGGGTGATTGTGTCATTCCGGCATCTCCCATTGGGCAGTGAGATGTTGGACGGACCAAAACCTGTCCGATCTAAGATAATCACTTTATCGTTGTTGAGGAGTTGCATGTGCATGGCTGATATGCCAATGTTGAATCGAAGTAGGTCCCACTTGCCGCCGGTGGCATCTATTAGAATATTCCGGTAACATGACAGCAGTAGTACTAGTATAGTTATCGGCAGGAGAAGGAAGGGAAGTACAGAAACTCGAGTCATTGACTGTTTTTTCTTCGTTTTCGTAGCGGCGAGGGGTTTGGATGTGGATTGGAAAGGAGGGTTTGATTGGACTATATATCTTTGAGAACACGTGCTGGAAAGAAATTTTTCAGAGAATGTCCTGTAGAATGTTGATCTCTCTTCAGAATGTCAGATTAAGAACGCATGCAAGGTATATATGCTCTGATGTTTAATTTCTGACGAAACCATAACTTTTTCAAATTAATTACCTTTTGATTTGGAAACTTTATCCAATTCAAATTTGTTCTATCATGCAAATTCTTAAGGATTTCAACCAACTGTAATATTACAAATGCATTCAGACCTGTTTTCAATTATTTCATCTTATGAAAAGTGTGTTTCAACTTATTTGGCACGTAATGAATATCCCAGCCAAACATTCCACTAGATTGCTTGACATGCACGTCAGTTTCGTCATATACAGTTGTGACTTAAAATTAGTCAAACAATCAATGTTAACTACATCTTTCATGGATCTCGTAGCTTTTCAACCACACATTTCAAAAACTTTTTATCATAATCTACTAAAAATCTAATTTTAACCCTCATCGAACACCCACAATTTATATTTGCTAGTTGCAGAAGAATGAGAGAAAACAATGGAAACACAAAGCAAGCCAATGAAGAAACTAAAAGCTAGGTTAGCTTGGCTGCGAAATATTCCCCTTTGA